TATATATATATATGTATGTATATGGATCGGGCTGCACGCCACAGCGATATGTTGGATCAGGCTGCATGCCGCAGCGATATAGCGCTTGGGCTATAGGTGACCCTCCGGAGTCTGCACACCCCCAGTGAGCGCAGTCGACTATATATATGGATCGGGCTGCACGTCGCAACGATATATGGATCGGGCTGCGCGCCGCATTGGTTACTATATGGTACCTATTGAGTGTGAGTGCTGAGTGTGAGCGTTGATTGGTAAGATTTGAGTCACGGGTGACTGAGAGGCTTGCCTGAAGGGCTATATATATATATACAGGTACATGAGTGATGCTTTGCCTAAGGGGCCTGGTTATGAACTTACTGTTTTTCACTCCTTCTTAAAGTGAGTTTTTATCGAATATGTGGATTTAATTACTACTTTCACTCATCTTTAAACCGAGTCTCTATTGAAAATGTTGAACAAACATTTTAAGTAATCTTTCATTTAAACTGAAGTTTCTAAGTTATGAAAAGGGTTGTGAAATTTCTGTTTTGCTCGAGGGGCTGTATGCGAACTATGTTTTGCCCGAGGGGCCAATTATGGTTTTCATCTCTTTTATTATAAATGGTGCTGAGACTCTTGGAAGGCATTTTCAAATGATTTTTTACCGAAAGCTGGGTTTAAAATAAGACGATTGACTTGTATTCCGATTTGAAAGCATGTTGTGTTTATTGAGTTTATCATAAATGTGGATTGATAGTTTTCTACTACTCAGTCTTTATTTACTCTTATTACTTACTGGGTTGGAGTACTCACATTACTCCCTGCACCTCATGTGCAGATTCAGGTATTTCAGAACCCGATAACAGGTGTTGATTGCTCAGACACGGAGTCATCAGAGTTAGCAAGGTGGTTGCACAACGTTCACAACACTGCTTCCTTCCTCTCATTTTCATTACTTTACTTAGTACACTTTTGACTGTTTTTGTTGTATTCAGACCTTGGTAGTTGCTCATGACTTGTGACACTCCGGTATCGGGCTGTATTTGGGATGTATTCCGCACATTATAAAATCTTTTGCTTAGTCTTAGGTTTATTTACTCATGCTTAGACTGATTGTTAATGTTTAACTGTTTAAATTACGGAATTGGGACTAGTTGGCTGGCCTTGTCTTCACGAGAGGCGGCATCACGACCGGGTCCAGGTTTAGGGTCGTGACAAACATTATATATTCTGAAGTAGTTGTAATGTTAGAAGGTTGGTGCTCGTTGTCTACTTCCATTATTGGCTGTCCTAGTTTATGTTGATAATCAGCAAAAGATTCTAAATCTATTGCATATGCAAGAGATTGTTTGAACGCTGCAGATTCTGAATGTTGTATTTTTTCGACGTCGAAATGGCAATTCTTGTAGGCTTGTAAGCAAATGTATACAGATATTGAGTTCTTCATCTGAAGTTATAAGCATTCCTTTGCTTGTATTTAGTTTGATATCAAACCATACCTTTAGTGAATATCTGCTTGAATCAATATTTGTAACTTCACTAATTTTCTTCAGGAAAGTATTGAATGATACTTGTTTATTAAGCAGAACAAGTTTTGTATCATGATCCAAGAATTTGAAATCAAGAGTCCACCTCCCATTGAAAGTAATAACAACGTAAATCAAACTCATCCTACAGAAGCATATATAGTGCCAAGTATTAGGAAAGTGAACAGAAGAATTTAATTATGAAGTTCACAAAAAATGTAAGCACATTGAAGCTGAAGTTGAGCAAATGTACTAGAACATTTTAGGCTTGTTTATAGTAAAGTTTTCGAAAAAAGCTCATGAATAAGGTGATTAATGCAAGACAAGGCTTAAGCATAAACTAAATTTAACTTTAGCATGTAAGAAAAAATTACATAGTGCAGGAGGAAAACTTTTAGGTTGTTTGTCCTGAAGTTTTTATAAATGAACTAAATCACTTCAGCATCTTCTGCTGAAATTTTTGAAAAAACTGTATGACAAAATTAATGAATCTACGACAAAAATTTCAGCTTATTAAGTGATGAAGTTTTTAAAAATAAACTAAATAACTTCAGCATATTCGACTGAAGTTTTTTGAAAAAGTTGTATGACAAAAAGGACAAAAACTTCAGCTTATTAAGTGCTGAAATTTTAGAAATGAACTAAATAACTTCAGTACATTGGGCTGAAGTTTTAGCAAATGAACTAAATAAACTTCAGCATGTTTCAGCATGCAGTTTTAATGTGCATTAATTGTATAGTATACAGGAGTAAACGTAACAAACATAATTAAAGTAGTAATTTTATTGCATTAGGGGTATATGTTAGTGTAATAATTATATTGCTATCACATTCATGCACGCTTTTCATTAGACATTTAAAATTCCTCTATGCCTTTTCATATACCATGCAGATATTTTTTCCGCCTATATAAGTACTCTATGCCTTGTGAGTTTATTCACTCAAACACATGTATTTTAGCAGATAAAATACAAAAGGGAGAAAGATGGATGCTGCCATCAGGCAAATAGTTGACAAAATTAAGCAAGACATCATAGAGGCGTTTGAGTTGAAGTTGGATGAGCTGATAGAGAAGTACGACAGGGAGCTGGAAGAAATCAATAACAAGCTTGATAGGCTTGAGATGCGAGCCAAATTTGATAGTCTTGGTGATGAAGACGCTCGTCCATCTGACAGTGACAACGACGACGACAATATGGATGATTAGTTTTTTTTGGATAATCCTTTTAGTTAAAGGGTTATTATGTTATTTCTTTTTTATGTAATTTTTTTTAATATTTTTTTTATTTAATGAAAAAATTTCTATTTTTGTTTTAAGTTTTTTTGTGCATTTTTTTTAATATTAATTCTCTTTAAACTCGGAAAATAACAGAGGAAATGAACTAAATAACTTCAGTAGGAATTAACAAAACTCATCCAAAAATTACATATTGCATGACAAAATATTAAGCATGTTTTAGCAAATAAACTAAAAACTTCAGCATACTAAAAATTATATGAATTTTTTTTTACATATTCCGGAAAACTTAAGCATTTTTTGTTATGAAGTTTTACTAAAAAATTATAATAAAATACATAGTGCAGGAGGAAAACTTCAGCTCTTTTCGCTAAAGTTTTCAAGAGTGAACTAAACAAATTCATCACTTTATGCTGAAGTATTTGTGCAATATGTAATTTTAATTTATGTTTTATTTTTTACCCAGTGGAGGAGGGAACTTCAGCTCGTTTTCCTGAAGTTTTTAAATATGAACTAAACAACTTCAGCATCTCATGCTGAATTTTTTTTGCAATATGTAATTTTAATTTATGTTTTATTTTTACCCAGTGCAGAAGGAAAAATTTAGCTCATTTTGTTGAAGATTTTAAAGATGAACTAAACAACTTCAGCATCCCATGCTGAAGTTTTTGTGCAATATGTAATTTTAATTTATGTTTTATTTTTACCCAGTGCAGAAGGAAAAATTTAGCTCATTTTGTTGAAGATTTTAAAGATGAACTAAACAACTTCAGCATCCCATGCTGAAGTTTTTGTGCAATATGTAATTTTAATTTATGTTTTAGCTCGTTTTCCTGGAGTTTTTACATATGAACTAAATAACTTCAGCTTGATTACACTATAAGACAAATACTTCAGCATATGTAAAAACTCAGCTTGTTTAGCAAATAAGCCAAAAACATCAGCATATTATGCAGTGGAAAACTTCAACATATTTGAATTTGTCGGATTAGAATGTTAGAATTCAACGTGAGACGGATTTAGAATGCAAATTCATTCGTCAGTGTAATCTATCAGTGAAAAGTTCATGTTTCATCCGTCAAACAACTTCAATCAATCAATCAGAAACATATATTTAAGTGTGAATTACGAAAATAATTATAGAAACATATATCATGAAATCAATCAGTTTCAAAAACTATTTTGAATTCTGAAGATGAATTGGAATACTTACAATATCTTTTGTAATTTTGAATTTGGAATTTGAATCTGGTTTGCGAGAGGCGATCTGAGGAGAGACAGAGTGATGGAGGAGAACCGTAAATTGATTTATGCGTGATGCATCTTTTATATGTTTTGTCAGGGGTATAATGGTCATATTATTACGAATTTTTTGTTAGCTGGCTACCAAATCAATAGTTTTTAAAAATAGGGTACATGTTAAAAGGTGACATAAACATAGGGTATGACTGCAAATCGCCCTTTTTTCCTGGGGTTTTATCCCTTTTAACCCGCGCAAGAAACTATTTACATTACTATACAATGTCATTTTTCCTTTTTTATTTTACTTCTAAGTTGTAACACTGGTCATTGTGCTAGCTAAAACAAAATCATTTTCAGTTTAGGTCGTTAATGATATTTACACTTTTGTGTCCAAGAGACTAGATGGGTAGGTACTAGGGCACGTGATGTAGACAGGTATAAGTTGTGGTACTTAGTACGCGTTGCTGACAAGAATGAGGTAGGTATTTTAGTTGACAGGGAACACAAGGAGTTAGTGGTCGAGGTTAGGAGGGTAAACTATAGGTTGATAAGTATTAAGCTTATAGTTGGAGGGTGTACTGTTCACGTAGTTAGCGTGTATGTCCCTTAAGTAGGACTAGACCAGGAGGTCAAGAGGCGATTCTGGGAGGATTTGGACGAGGTGATGCATAGTATCCCGCACTCTGAGAAGCTTTTCATCGGAGGGGACTTCAATGGCCATATTGGGGCTAATGCTAGGGGCTATGATGGCATGCATGGAGGATTCGACTTTGGGGTTAGAAATGAGGAAGGTACCTTACTGTTGGATTTTGCTAGAGCTTTTGACTTAGTGGTAGCCAACTCGAGTTTCCCGAAGAGGAAGGAGCACCTGGTCACCTTTCGGAGCTCGGTGGCCAAGATCCAGATTGATTATCTTCTTTATAGGAAATGCGATAAAGGTCTAAGCACGGATTGCAAGGTCATCCCAAGTGAGAACTTCACGACCTAGCATAGGCTCTTGGTTGTGGACCTAGAGATCAAAAGGTGTAGGAAGAAGAGGGCGGTGTGTAGGCGACCTAGTATCAAGTAGGGTAACTTGACTAAGGACAAAGCTCAAGAGTTGGGGGATATATTGTTGGCTATGAGGGCATGGAGGATGAGACTAGGATGTGGACCACGATAGCGGGTTGCATCAGGGAGTAACTAAAGAGATTTTGGGGGTCATGAAGGGTTATTCTAGGGGTCATAAAGGGGACTGGTGGTGGAATGGAGAGGTCCAAGGTAAGGTGGATGCCAAGAAAGCAACTTATTTGAAGCTCGTGGAGAGTACAGACGAGGAGGATAGAAAGATATATCGGGAGTGTTATAAGAAGGCAAAGAAAGAGGCGAAGTTAGCAGTTACGACGGTTAAGACTACGGCATTTGGACGTCTGTACGAGGAACTCGAGGGCAAGGGCAGGGACAAGAAACTATTCCGGTTGGCCAAAGTGAGGGAGAGAAAGGCCCGAGACGAGGATGGCAGAGTAATGATAGACGAGCCACATTTTAAACGAAGATGGCAAGCATACTTCCGTAAATTATTGAACGAGGAGGGGCACAAAAGCATTATGCTAGGTGAGTTGGAGCACTCTGTGAGTCAGCTGATTTTGGATATTGTAGGCGTATTAAGGTAGAAGAGGTAGAAAGGGCAATGCGTAAGATGAGCAAGGGCAGAGCAACGGGACCAAACGAAATTCTGGTGGAATTCTGGAAGAATACGGGACGATCCGGCTTGAAGTTGCTTACTGAGTTTTTTAATGTTATTTTTAAGACAAAAAGGATGCCCGAAGAGTGGAGGTAGAGTACGATAGCTCCATTGTACAAGAATAAGGGCGATATCCAAAATTGCAACAACTACATGGGTATAAAGATGTTGAGCCACACTATGAAGGCTTAGGAGATGATGGTGGAAGCCAGGGTGAGGAGGACCGTATCTATTTCTGAAAACCAGTTCGGATTCATGCCGGAGCTGTCGACGACGGAAGCTATCCATTTGGTGAGGAGACTAGTGGAACAGTATAGGGAGAGTAAGAAAGACTTGTATATGGTGTTCATTAACCCTAAAAAGTGTACGATAAAGTCCCTAGGGAGGTTCTATGGAGGTGCTTGGAGGTTAGTGGCGTCCTGGTAGCGTACACTAGGTTGATTAAGGATATGTATGAGGGTGCTAAGACTCGAGTGAGGACTGTGGGAAGAGACTCGGAACACTTTCCAGTTACGATGAGGTTGCACTAGGGATCGGCTCTTAGCCTGTTCCTATTTGCCTTGGCGATAGACGTGCTGACATGGCGCATCCAAGGGGAGGTGCCTTGGTGCATGTTATTTGCAGATGATATAGTGTTGATAGACGAGACTCAAGGCGGGGTCAACGCGAGGTTGGAGGTATGGAGACAGACCTTGGAGTCTAAAGGTTTCAAGTTGAGCAGGACCAAAACAGAGTACTTTGATGCAAATTCAGTGGCATGACCCTTAAAGATGACGTGGATATGAAGCTTGAGACTCAAGTCATTCCCGAGAGAAGTAGTTTCAAGTATCTCGGATCTATTATACAAGGTAACAAGAAGATCGACGAGGATGTCACACATCGTATTGGGGCGGAATGGATGAAGTGGAGGCAAGCCTCCAGTGTTCTTTGCGATAAGAATGTTCCGCCAAAACTTAAGAGTAATTTTACAAAGTGGTGATTCAACCTACCCTGCTATGTAAGGCGGAGTGTTGGCCAGTCAAGAGCTCCCATGTGTAGAAGATGAGAGTAGCATAAATGAGGATGTTGAGATGGATATGTAGGTGTACCAGGAGGGAAAAGATTAGGAATGAGGTTATTCGAGACAAAGTGGGAGTGGCCTCCGTAGAGGACAAGATGCGGGAGTCGAGGCTGAGATGGTTCTTGCATGTTAGGAGGAGAAGCATTGATGCTCCTATTAGGAGATGTGAGAGGTTGACCATGGCAGGTTTGAGAAGAGGTCGAGGCAGACCTAAGAAATACAGGGGAGAGGTGATTAGGCAGGACATGGCGCGGCTTCAGATCACTGATGACATGGCCCTAGATAGGAGGGTGTGGAGGTCGAGAATTAGGGTAGAAGGTTAGTTGGTAGCTGAGAGTTTTCCCCTTTCTTACCAGTAGTACTAGTAGCACGCATGTACTCTCATATCTCTCAGGATTTATATTACACCATGTTGTTTAGCTTGTTCTAGTTACCTTATTCTTCTGTTATTACTATTTTGGTGCTACTCACTCTGTTCTCCCCCTACCCTCCTCCTCCTTCTTCTTCTCCTTCTTCTTCTTATTCTTCTTCTTTTCCTCCCTATTTTTCTGAGCCGAAGGTCTATTGGAAACAGCCTCTCTATCTTCACTAGGTAGGGGGTAAGATCTGCGTACTACTACCCTCCTAGACCCCAATTATGAGAATATAATGGGTATGTTAGTTGTTGTTGTTTGAAATTTAGAAGGGGTTAAAAAAGTTAGCATGGAAATATATGTATAAAAATTTAATAATTTTTACTTTTACTCTTTCTTTTACTTTTACTCAAAATCTCACGTTTTTCGTCTTTATATAAGTTTGAGGGTTTGTTTCCTTTGTTATTAAACCTCCAAATGCAACATGGAAAAGCTAAAACAAAGGATTTTTTTTTTTCCGATTCCTTTGATGAAATTCTTACCTTTGCCATCACCTTTGAAGACAAATTAGTTTTTGTCTTGGGTATTTTTGACGCCTCCATAGAAATTTCATTCATTTATTAAAGTAGGATTCCTACTGTCAATTATTTGTACGACATTGCATTATCGAAAAAGATAGAAAATGAAAGAGAGAAGTCAAGATACCAAAACCACTAAATGTCAATAAGGCCACATGAACGTTAGCATCAGTGGACTGGAGATGAGTTATACATTCCTTCTTTTCCTTTGACACCTCATATTTGGTTGCTGTTTAGCTTTTTTGTTTTTTGTCCCTTCATTTTTTAAAAAGATAAATTCTCAAGTGGGCCAAACCCCTCCACTCCCAACTTTAGTTTCCTACCAGACTTTGCCGATTTAATCATTTATTCAACAATCCAATTTAATGAACATACTTATCGTTTCAATCTTTCTGTTTATTATTATTAGTATTACTATATTCGGTTTACATTATTGATCATTTACGATTGTATACGGTCCTATATTAAGAATTTAGCCCCGTTTGGCTATAGATTTTGTCAAGTTTTTTCTAAAAAAGATTTGACAAAACATGTTTGTTTATAGATTTTATTCATGTTTTGCTAAATTTTGAAAATAAAATTTTCAAATACCAAAACTAGCTCTAGATTTGTATTAGGCCCAAAATATTACTGTTTGATTTTTTAACAATCTTAAAAGTTACCCCAAACTTTTGTATTTTATAAAAAGCTCACCATCTATTATGACCCAACTAATCCACCGGCTAATTACTATCATTTTCTTTTGGACTAATGGATCTTGTAATATTATAATAAAATATCAAGTTATGATTTTAGGTTATATAGTTAATTATAAAAATGCTAATTTTGTGCCAAACTTATCTATGTTCAGGACTATGGTTTGTGATAATGATAATGAATGTCATCGATTTTGTTTGTTAATTTGATATTGTTGGGTATTTTTGATAGTTTTTAGAACTTATGGGTATAAGTCACATTTCATTTTTTTTTATTTAAAAAAAGTGAATTATGTTTTGAAAAATTATGTCCAAATATATTTTCATATTCAAATCAAACTTCAAATTCGATTAAAATAAATTTGAGAATCTATGGCTAAATATTAACATAGTAGTTTAGAGTAATTCTCGAAACTATCATTGAGCGTCTTACTCAATAGAAACAGTAAAAGTTAAATTTGATAGAAAAGTGTAATTTTTCGCCTTTTCCAGTTTTCCTTTTATCGTACTATATGCACACCCCGCCAACATGCTCATATATAAATGCACGTATACTAACGTTTACATGACGTACGTATAGAGTAGTTAAGGAAGACTTGAATAATCTCCAGATTCTCATTGTTGGTTTGATAAAATAAAGTCCACTCTTGATTAAATATATATAGGTATTCTCACCACTTCACGTGTTCTATATGTTATATCAGACAGACACTCTTGTCACAGAAACTAAGCCTATGTTATTTGCCTTGAATTAAGGAATATCCTTTCATAACTAGGAAACCTCGATAAAGCAGTTTCACAAGATAATCTAAACTGACATCTTGGAATTTTACGAATTTATCAACATTAAGTACTACTCATTCCGTCTTAAATTATCTTACGTAATTTGTAGAAACAGTTATCTCAAATTATTTGTTATTTTAGAAGTTCAACACAAATTATTTTTTTTATTTTACACTTAGTAGTAATTGTTCTTGAAGGTAAAGATGACACATAAATCTTCAATAAAGAGATATTATACCTTAAGACATAAATAAGAGTAAAATAGTCAAAAATTCTTTCTAATTAATGTTTCTTAACTGTTGTGTAAAAAAATATATATAATTTGAGACGGAGTAAGTGACAAAACGATCTTTTTCATCCAAACTGAACTTTTAGTAATATCTTCCTATGACAATAAATAATAGTAATAAAATAAAGAGCTTAAAACTTTTCAGGTAAATATTTTTGGACTTGAATATGCTATACTAATTAATAGACAACTTTCTTTTTAGGTATCAATCATTCCAGGCAATTTTGTGTATCTTTTTTTATTTTATTTTTCATTTGGGGGGATGGGGTAGGAGATTGATTGAAGCAGTCAACATTTCCAGGCAGACATTCTCTTGTATGGTCCCAAAGTTTACCCTTTTAAAACTAATAATTTTTCTGATGATGAATTTTCTTTTCTTCTCTTAGTTTTGCCCTTTATAAATTTCCCTATTATAAAAGGACTACTGGAGATATATTTAAAGAGGACCCCATTGAACAATGCAGCTCATGTGCTCTCTCAGCTTCAAAACAAGCTGTAATTTTGTCTCATACTTTGACAACTACATCAATGCTTTTACTTATTTAATGAACCTTAAATATGTTTTTTCATCCATACCTCCAAGATTTCCAACCACATGTTTAACTTACACATCTTTTTTCCTTTTCCAAATCAAGAGGCTTCTCTGTTTTAGGGAAATGGAATTTTTACTATACTAACACGAGCGATGGTAAAGTTGTTGTCACGTGAATAGGAGGTCACAGATTCGAGCCGTGAAAATAACTTATTGCAGAAATATAGTGTAAGACTGCATACAATAGACCCTTGTGGTCCAGCCGTTCCCGAAATTCCGCGCATGGTGAAGCTTAATGCACCGGACTACCTCTGTTTTAACAAGTAGTGACGAAGACATGTAATTTTCAAGATTAACACAGTAACTGTTATTTATCTCCAAGACGTGATTTTCACACAACTGTTAGAAGTTAACAAAGTTATTGGAAAACCAGCCCATTGATTCTTGTCTTCATTTTTGTGGCTTTTATCAACCAGTCATAATCTTTTTGGCTCTCTCTTGTTCTCTCTGTCTCTCTCTCTCTCTGTTTATCTTGTACAATTAAGAAAGAATGTCACAACACCCTTTGTTCACAATCCAATATCATCTTTATTCCAATGGCTTCTCTTCAAGAATTGCTAACTGAAGAAGGTTTTGAGA